GGAGCACGAACTGGAGCGAGCCAAGGAGCGCGAGCGGCAGTACGAGCGCGAACGGGACGATGCCACCCGCGCAAAATCCCCGGAGACCGCACGGAGCCCGCGCGCGGTCCCCGTGGCCCCCAAGCCCAGCTACGATCTCTCCTCCCTCGAGCAAGAACGCAAACTCCTCCGCGGCGAGTGGCAGAAGCACCACGACAACGACCAGCAAGACAACAACAACAACAACAACAACAACAACAACAACCTCCCCACTCCCATTGCCGAGAGCCCCTCCAGCCCACCCCCTCCCTCCCTCCCCGCGCGCCGCCCTCTCCCCGAACCCACCCTCACCGAATCAAAACCCCCAGCAATGCCCCCGCGCCCTCTCCCCGACCCAGCAACCTACACCTCCCCGCCTCAATCCCCCATCCGCAAACCAGTCCCCGTCCCCGTGCCTGCCTCCCCATCAACAAGAGTCGACCGCTTCCTCACCACCAACAACCCCCCCACCTCCCCCAAACCAACCACCCACCGCCCCGCCGACTACACGACGACCGCCGAGGTCGACGCCGAGAACAGCCGCCGCCTCGCCGCCCAGCAGAAGACCAAGGCCGGCGGCTGGGCCTCCAAGTCCCTGCTGGAGCGCGAGATGGAGCGCGAGCGCGAGCGCCAGCGCGAGTGGGAGGAGAGCCAGAAGCAGACCCAGGAGGCCGCCGCCCGGGGACTGCGCGACGGCTCGCTGGGCTCCGGCCCCGGCCAGGGCGCCTGGGACGTCCACCAGTACGGCTACATGGGCGGCGACAACCAGAACCGCGGCGGCCCCGGACTCGGGGTCGGCGGCGCCCGGAGGCAGATTATTGGGCCGCGGCCTGCGCCTTGATCTTGTTGCTTGGAGGAAAACCACTGTGGTTGTTTAGAATTCTCGGAATGCGTTCGCGCTGGGGATGTGCTTGGAAATGTAGTTGATAGGTAGCGGTTGGCTAAGATCTGGTGGATGTTTTGGGAGATCTAGTGATGGATCGATGGAGAGGATTTAATTACTGAGGATGTTCCTTATTTTATACCCGTTTTTTTTTGTCTATCAGCATGGTAGCTACTATTTGGAATTGAGGTGCATTTAGTATGCGGTTTGTTGGTTTTTGCTTTTGTTGACTGGTCCAGTTGGAAAGGAACCCTGGCTGGGTGGGGTCTGTAGTACGAATGTATTCTTCAGATGAATGATAAGTAAAGGGAAGAACGAGAAATAAAGATGTAATTCAGATCCTCAAATCAAGAAACATCAGCTCTGCTACAATCACAACAACAGGGTATCTATCTGACTATTCGAGAAGAAGCACTTCCTAGGTTAATTCGCCCGGAATATAAAAAACAACGAGACGAGACAAGACAAACACGAGCAACAAACACAGGCTAGGCACGACAAGACAAATTACAATTGCCCCACTCGCAGATGCAAACGCTTATGACCACCACCCACAAACAGTCTTCTCACTAGGAGCCAAGCCTTTCAAACCGCGGCAACCGTCATCCCATGATCCTCATTCCCCTGCGTCAGCGGAATGATCTCTTCGACCAGGAACCACAGCCTCCGCCCGCTCTCCAACAGCCACGCCCACTCGATGTCGCCCGCATGCAGGTCGGCCTCGCGCTTCTTCCTCCCATCGTGGATCGGGCGCTGCTCGCGGGCCATGATCCCCTCGCCGACGGCCTCCTTCAGCGCCGGGGTCACGGTCAGCATGTCGTTGTCGGCGAGCAGGATGATCAGCGTCTCCAGGGTGATGGAGATCTTGGCGTTGTCGGCGGGGGAGTTCGTGTTCGCCCCGTAGGGCAGGAAGCAGTATTCCAGCTTCGCTTGGCTGAGGTACTCGTCCGCCGTGTCGGGGGCGGCGGACTCGCGCATGCGGAAGAGCAGGTACTCGCAGAGGGTGGTGAGGGCGGCCGGGGGGAAGTGCGGGAGGGCGGTGGGGCTGATGAAGGCCTGGTACGAGGGGAGGGGCAGGTGGCGGATGTTCTCGGCGAAGAGGTGATACAGCTCTTCGAGCGGGATGAAGTGTTCGGGGATGGTTTCGGAGACGGTGGAGAGGAGGTGCAGGAGGCGCTGGCGGAGGGTGAGCGAGCGCATGCCGCCGAGGGTGCAGGGGTCGGCGTGCATGGTGGCGAGGTGGCCGGGGGGGATCTGGTCGTCCGGGACATAGCGTTGAGAGGTAGGATCGGAGTATTTGAACGTGCCTGTAGGCGTGCCGTAGTTGTCGGGCGTCAGGAAGTTTGCCGGGGTGGTGAAGATGGTGGGTTCTGGGCGAGTTTCTTGCGGGCGAGTACCTCGTCGGGCTCGTTTCGATTGCCGGAGGGCAACACCACCACCACCACCACCGTCTCGTCTCGACGAGGCTGGGGCCCCTGCGCCGCCGCGACCGCGACCACGACCACGACCGCGTCCTTGTTGCGGCCGTGGCTCGGCGTCTTCGACAATAATGTCATCTGTAGTGGTGGTGTCGTCGGCGTCAACACTGTCTTCGTCCTCCTCGTCGTCGGTCAGATAGTCCCCATACTCTTCTGCGTCGATGTTGACCTGCATCCCGCGCTTCTTGCTATTGTGGCTGGACTTCTTGTGTTTGCCATGCTTGAGTTCATTCTCAAAGACCACGCGGAACTCGTTGGAGGTTGTAGCCCGGCCGTCGGCGAAGATAGATTTCACGATTCGACGATTCCGGCCGTAGGTGGCGCTGGCGCCTTCGATGTAGCGCACGATGAGGCTGTCTTTGAGTATCTGATCGGCTGCATCATTCTCTTTGGCCCTGGTCTTTGACCTGCGCTTCGCAACGTTCACCTCGACGGCGTTCGTGCTGGAGTCCTTGATCTCTGTCCACTGTTTATGTCGCTCATTCCAGTCATTTTCGAGCACCTCGCACATGAACTCGAGCCAGATCCGCCAGTGTTCCCAGCGCTCGTGGTGCAGTACAGAGCAGTTGAAAGCCCAGCCGACGGCATGCCAGAAGTCCTCCGCACGGGACCAGATGGATTGTGATTCCCCCAGGTCGAGGTTTATCGGCGTCATGATATCCTCTGTCGCATCCGGCGAGGTGGGCGCGTCGTCGGCCCCGCGACGTCGGCGGCCATGGCGAGATGTTTCGAAGTGCGTGAAGGAGAACGCGAGGCCGAATTTGGCGGCTCTGGGCCCAACGAGCGCGTTGGTGAGGCGGAGGAGACGGAGGGATGCATTGGGAGCTTCTTCCTCCTCGGCTGTCTTTGCGCGAGTGGTCGTGGAGGGGTGTACAAGGAAGGTCGCGGCGACAGCCAGGTGCTGAGGAGGTGGAACGAACGCTGGCGTGGAAGCAAGGGTACCGGCGGTGAGAATTTCTAAAAGGAAATTTAGAGCTTGTGTATCTGGTAGAAAATGTGAGCATTCGCAAACAAAGAAGTAGATGGACTGTGTCGAGCGAGACATACATAGCTTCTCTTCGAGGAAAATGCCAGAGTGCTGGACCAGCTCGAAGGGAAGCGGTTTAGCAGGACGATAGAGAGGCATAGATGCCTCTGCACCTTCTAGGATAGCCATCAAAATAGCTGCAGAGGATGATGTATGTGAAGATTGGAGAGGAAGAGCTGCGATGCGCGGAGAGAAAGAATCGCGCCGATAAAGGCTGATAGCCGGTCAAAGAAACGCGGCGCTTATCGATAGCCGCATCGGACGTGTTGCTTCTGCCCCATTGTAGGTAGCCAGTTGTATTTGTGTATAGAAGTATGAGATGAATCAAGTCCGAACAGCCTGTTGGACAATGGTATGACCAATTATCTTCGAATGCAATTATCTACAGATGTCATAGAGTATGGCAGAGAAGTAAAAAGAAAGCAAACCAAAAAAGAAAGTGGCGCTGCCCGGAATCGAACCGGGGCTGGCACGGCCACAACGTGACGTCATACCACTAGACCACAGCACCTGTTGTTGTGATGTTGGCCTCATTTTAGAGTCCTGTGTACAGGTTTTGATGCCAGACTGTTGCATAGGTATACATAATACAGTACACATCAGTGCCCATTAGTCGGCCTTTTGCCAATTACCATGCTCAGGTCTTTGATATCTGTATGTGTACAGGTGTGTGTATATTTGACTCTTGCTTCTGGTAGCCAGATGGGCGGCGTGGTGGCAACCTCAACTCACAAATTAGCCTGGCGAAGTACCTTTATCCAGCCACATACATGAATGTTGAAGTACATACATGTCTATCAACCCCAAACCTTCCGCCCTTCCTCAGCAGCCTCTAAAGTTGATGAGTTGCTCGGTATATGCAGGTAACACTCTATACATCTGCTATCAAAAGTCGGGTTCTCTGGTCTTGGCGCATTCATCCAGTAAAGGACACCCTAAATACAGTCGATATTGCATTATATATCAAACATGAGGTTCCACAAGCAACGATCTATGCGAGCTGGCATGTTTGTGGTAAAAAGTACATAAGACTGTAGAAGAGTTCAGGTCTCAGCAAGATGTTTATCGCTCACGTGATGTTCATACCGGTGGAATACTTGCTATGAAGACTGTAGGCAATTCACGCCGGTGTCCTTAGTGAATGATTGCTTTCTTGTTGTGAATGTGTATAGCATGTGAAGACGCGGGACACGTCCCTACTGAGCTTGGTGCAGAAAACATTCTTGAAAGAAGTTATCATTCTCATCAATCTAACACCCACTCTCATGGTTATGAAGAAGTGAGATCCCACTGCCAGTGTAACAAGAAGAAGCTGTTCTCACTGATCACCTACCTTACCCTAGGAGCATCAGATCACCCTGAGTACCTTGATCTCAACGCTGTTCACAAATTCTGCTAGCTGATCTTCAGAGGAGGTTGGCTTGGATTTACTGTTGTGCATCAAAAAGTGACGACATCTGCAAGACTGATCGCTATTCGGTCTTGGAACTCGTACTGGTAAGATATCTTTCAGTGAACTGAGTGTCTTATTTAACCGACTCCGTCAAGCCTATACTCCATATCATAACAGTCTCGAACACATTTCACCAGAGCGATGGCAACAAGAAGTTCCTTCCGCAAGTTCCCAAAGCTGCCCGCCGAGCTTCGTCTCAAGATCTGGGAGGAAGCCCTACCCGAGCTCATCGAACAGCCCCTCTACTTCTACAGCCAGCGCCAGCGCCAGACTACCCACGCCTACGACACCCTCGCGGCGGTGGTGCCCCAGAGCATCGACGTCCAGCACGGCCAAGTGCGCCCCCGCACGGTCGAGCTCCCGCACTTGTTCGTCAACTGGGAGGCTCGCGGGACCGCCCTGTGCTGGGTGGGCAAGCAAGACGCGGAGACTCTCTCGTCGTGGATGAGACCGAAACAGTCCCCGTCCCACCACCACCACCACCACCACCACATCCTCGTTCGTCCCTTCTCCCCGGAGACCGACACCCTCTACGTCTCCGCGGAGCTGTGGGATGGGTTCATCCAGGAGAAACGCAAGACGGAGAGTGTGCCCGGATACCGCGAAGTGGGTGGAGTAGTAGCACGAGAACCGACGTTCATCGCCTTTCCGGCCCCCGAGCGGGCGCTGCGGTCGGTGGCGGTGGCGATGAGGCTGCTCCAGGAACATCCGGGGAGCCTGGTCGGCGCCTTTTTCCGATGGCGAGGCGTGAAAGTGGTATACCTGGTTGTCCATGAACAGGGGGATGACGAGAGACAATTTGAGAGTGATGCGATGGAAGGGAAACAGCCGTGGAGATTCGAAGTATCGGAAGCCACGCTGAAGGGGAGGTGGGTTCCAGCGAGCCGTGAAATGGAATGGGAAGCCAGCGGCAGCAGCAACAACAACAACAACAACCAAGAGAACGACTCCGACTTAGAGAAGCTGAGTACGGTCATGCTCGGAACCCAGCCTTCGTTGACTGCGCTCTTCAGGGAGTGGAACCCTTCGGTTCACAGGGATTTTAGGGTCCAGCTTATCCGTGTTGCCATACAGCGTACGTGAGAAGCTGCTGATGCTGGGGCATGAAGTCCGTGGGCACCTGCTGTGGTTGGTGTGGTTTCATTCCTCTGCAAGGTGTATCTAGGCCGTTGACTGGTCACTGGGGTTGATGTACAGTAGTTGCGACATGCCAGTCCCTACACAAGCAAACACTGAGCATGTGGGTCCGACGTCAAAGCCAATTCTCATCCGTAGCTGTCCTACGCCCTTCGCTTGATGTAGTCGAGCCGACGTCGTACACGGCTTGCATGCACGACGGCAACGCCGTGAAGACTAAGTAGTGACATTTGAGCATGTCGTCGTATCGTTGGGAGTTTCAGCTCCAGACCGCCAATTGAGAGCTCTGCGAAGCGAGTAAAACAGGTTTGTTGCATCGCGACAAACGCACACGTTTGCTCTGAGTCCGGACTCTTGTCTGCGAAGCTGGAGGACGTTGTCCATGTAAAACGTCAATGCGGAAAAGCGGCTCGGCTCGTACCTTGACATGGGCAGGTACTGTATACAGCCCTGAGTCTTGTCACTTGTCACTGTTTGCCGCTGCCGAGCCGCAACAATGAATGTGACCAGGTCAGAAGCTTGCCAGCGTTGGTCAATTGGAAGACTAAATCTCCGAGTGTTACTGTAGGATCGAGAATCGCCCGTGGGAAGAAGAGCTCGGACGGTTTGCAGCATCTCACGTGGTTCAGCATCGCGCATAACCTTAATCTCTGAGGTGTAGCCATGGGTTACACCGGTCTCATCGACTACAATCTCGAGCCTCTAAGGTGTTCTGGTTGAGGTGAGCGACGATGGAAGTGCTCTGGGATGAAGAGAAGGAGGGGAAATGTGCTTCCCTTTTGCTCAATTCCACAAACTGGGGGAGAATGGCGAGTGTGTCAACATAAAAGCCCGGGGTTGGGCTCTTTCCCCAGGAAATGAGGGAGCACCTCAAGCTTTGAACAGCTAATTGAAGAAGCAAGCATGATCTGGAATACTTTTCTCCAACTGGTCGTCCTTGTGCTAGGTATCCTCCAACCAGTCTGGGGTTTCCCTTCTGTCGAAGTTGAACGCGATGAGCCCCAGGCCTCAGACCGATATGTCTTTGCCCACTTCATGGTACGTCAAAGTGTCTCGCCCCTTTCACAAGTCAAGACTGTCTCATCAAAGCTAACTACCCATCTCCACAGGTCGGGATCGTCGAGAACTACCAAGTCGAGGACTGGATCGCCGACATGCAAGCGGCGCAAGCGATCGGCATCGACGCCTTCGCGCTGAACTGCGCCAGCATCGACAAGTACACCCCAACCCAACTGGCGCTGGCCTACCAGGCGGCGCAGCAGGTCGGCTTCAAGGTCTTCATCTCCTTCGACTTCGCGTACTGGACGAACGGCGACACGGCCAAGATCACCGCCTACATGCAGCAGTACGCCAGCCACCCGGCGCAGATGCAGTACCGGGGCGGGGCGGTGGTGAGCACCTTCGTGGGCGACAGCTTCAACTGGGGCCCCGTGAAGCAGGGCACCTCGCATGCGATCCACGCGCTCCCGAACCTGCAGGACCCGGCCGAGGCGTCCAGCAACCGGGCGCGGGCCGCGGACGGCGCGTTCTCGTGGTACGCCTGGCCCACCGACGGCGGCAATAGCATCATCAGGGGTCCGATGACGACGATCTGGGATGATCGGTACGTCAAGGACCTGGCCGGGACGACTTATATGGCGCGTGAGTTTTCAGCCGCAACTCTCTGATCTGACTTGGCTTAAAAATGTGCTTGCAAGGAGGGTTGGGTTAACGAAAGCGACAGCCGTCTCGCCCTGGTTCGCCACCCACTTCAACAGCAAGAATTGGGTCTTCATCTGCGAGAACCTGCCGACCCTCCGGTGGGAGCAGATGCTGAGTCTCCGGCCCAGTTTGGTCGAGATCATCTCGTGGAATGGTAAGCACATACTCCGCAAGCCCGTAGCAGGACAGCCCCCAACTGTCTATGTACATACCCACTGAGTTATAGACTACGGCGAATCGCACTACATCGGCCCCTACGCCGCCAACCACAGCGACGACGGGTCCTCCAAGTGGGCCAAGGGCATGCCGCACGACGCCTGGCGGGACCTGTACCAGCCCTACATCGCCGCGTACAAGTCCGGGGCCGCCACCCCGCGGGTCGAGAAGGACAGCCTGGTGTACTGGTACCGGCCCACGCCGAAGGGGGTCTCGTGCCCGGAGGACAACCTCGGACCGCCGAACGGGATCTCCATGCTTGGGGACAGTATCTTCGTGGCGACCATGCTGACCAGCCCGGCGACGCTGACGGTGACCAGTGGGTCGAATGGCCCCGTGCGCATCGAGGTGCCCGCGGGGATCGTGACGTCGAACGTCTCGATGGGGGTGGGCCCGCAGACGTTCACCGTCAGTCGCAATGGGCAGACGATTCTGAGTGGGCAGGGCGGGTTGGCGGTGCAGAGCCAGTGCAACAAGTATTACAACTTCAACGTGTATGTGGGGAAAGTTGCGGGGTTTTAATTGTGTTGTTGGCTGTATCTGTCCCTGGTCATTGAGTCTAGGAGGCTAGGCTAGGAATGCCGCTGCAAGGATGCCGCGATGGTCGGGTTTAAGTCTGACCTGCTCGAGAGTCGGGTTTCTTAGGAAATCCTAGGGATTTGGGGTTGGGGTTTGTGGATGGTGGGATTGAGCTTGAGTGTTGGCATGGTTGGCGCGAATTTATATAGTTTTGGGATGGAAATGAGGTTGTGGAGTTCTCCTGTATAATCTCGTTATCTCTGGCTTTGTGCAAAGGAAAGAGCTTGGAGGTGGGGGGGGGGGGTTCGTGATTGATAAAGAAGCCGAGTTGATTGTGAGCTGAGTACAAGAAGCGCCGGTTAGGAGGGATAAAGACTTTCGATTGATATTCTCCGGGATGAGATTATCGAAACTGATTTTGAGTTGAAATACGAAATTCTGAGTGCATGCTGCTGCGACTTCTTCCAAGACGACACAAGCGCGTGTACCGCTTCGCTGAAGAGTTGGGATTTGCCAAATCTCGAAAAGAAAACAGAAGGACACCAATATCATTATCGTCGGTCACGGCGTCGACCCCTTTTTCTATTCCCAGATCAGTGACCCCGAGACTACCTTATCTTCGAACCGCGGACTTGACACTGCAGACCTACTCACAACAGAACTACCAAGGCAATGCACCAGGAAGTAATAATGGATGGGATATATGGGTAGGTAGTGTGTAGTAGTGATGATGGTGAGGATAATCTGGAAACCAAGGAGAATAGGAGTACAATAACCCCTCCGTTTCTCCCCTATTTTTGGGTTCTTCATCTAGTGTAGCCCGCCGTCCCCTTTCCACGCCATCGCCCAATTTTATTCTTCAAAGATGAAACCACAATTCAATTGTCTTTCCACCCCAGTTTCCAGTCGCAGAACGAGGAACCCCCCCCCGACAGTCCTTGCCTCCCCCTTCGCATGGAAGGTACCCTGGAAATACACACCGGTACAAATTGGGCAGATGAGTGCCCCACTTGGTCTTCCCCAAATGTGGACGGAGGTCCGATCCCGATGGCTGACAGTGTGGGGTGGATGGAAGAAAAGGGGGACATGAAGGTGATGACAGCGAGAGACGTAGGGGAAAGACAACATAGACGCCAAGTGGAGAATATTAGCAAGAATGGAGAAAAAAGATAGGAAGGAGGACAAGTCTGGAAAATGAGAACATGTGAGTTGGATTAAGATAAGGAAATTCGATGAACCGGAGCAGAGAGCGACTACTCCTCGGGGATGTCGGAGAAGAGGCCTATTCGCAAACGGTGCGACTGGCAGAGAAAGAAGGTTAGTACTGCGATACTGCCGCCTGAGACGGTGGGTGGGGCCAAACTCACAAAGGGCAACTTCGGGATGACCACCCCCAGCGTAGCAAGGAAGTTGATGGTGAAATACGTCAGGTCGTAGTGGGTGTAATGCGTGCTGAGAAGGAAAAGGCAGATGGGCACGCAGAGCAGGAACTTCTTGGTCGGAGTGTATTGGTCGCCATTGTCAATCTGCTCCCACATGTTGAGGTTGTCGTACGCCCCGGCGTTGAACTCGAAAGGGATGCCCCGCACCCAGTGAAACATGAGGAAAGAGCCGAACATATAGCTGATGTTGGTGAGGGTCCAGGAGGTTTCTTGCGAGACACCAGGAATAATGTCGAAGAGGATCTTCAGAGCCACGATCAAGACGAAGTGAATGGTCCAGGCACCTAGATTGTCGTCGTACAAGCCGTCAGCCACCTCGTTCATTCTGTGCTTGACTGCCCGCTGAGATTCGCGCCCGCCTTTATGTGTGCAAACTCACCCTTAGCATTGACCCAATTCGCATTCAGATTAGGGAGGGCAGCCTGGTCGCTGGTCCGCTCGATGGACTCGGGAGGCTCCTGATAAATGATACTGCTCGACCGTCTCCTCCGCCCAGCCTTGCCTGAAGACATATTGGAGTCCGGAGTCAGCCGATGTCGGCCAGTGTCGACTTCCGGAGGGAAGGAGATGGCACGGGGAACGAGTAGAGAAGACACTTTGGCGGTATTATCGGCAGAGCAGGAGGAGGGGATAGTCGGAAAGGAGGAGGAAGAGGAGGAGGAGGGAATCTTGGCACGAGGAAAGAGAGAGTCGCAGGTAGAGGAGTAGGAGTCGAAGAAGTGGAATGGATAGAAATCGAGAATAAAAGGAAAAAGACGAAAAGAAAAGAGAGGGTGAGGTGGTTTGATTGAGGGAGACAACAAAAGTAAGAAAGAGAGATAGTTAGAGAGTAAGTAGGTTAGCAAGCAGGATGGGGGAAGGCCGATGTTCGACTGGACTTTCGATTAGAGGCGACGGCGAGATCTGAAGAGGATCCCCGAATGATGGATGGTTGGTCACGGGAGCACCGGTACCGTATTCCCGTTACCGCTTGTATTCTATTCTGCTGACCAGCTCAACTCTCAGCAGAATCAGAATTAAGATGTTACTGCGAGTATTCTTACAATCATGTAAAATAGATGAGGACTTGGAAAGGATTCTGAATCTAGCAAAAGCAAAAGGACACCAAGTACGATATGACTATGTCCCGAGATGCAGAAGGGGGAAAAAAGATGATGACAGATGCCCCGATCTCCGACGGGCTCCAGGAGACAGACAGAAGAGAAGACCTGTCAATGGGAAACCGAAACAGAAACCGAACAGAACAGAACAGACACAGACACAGACACAGACAACTAAGAATAGATAAAGCCAAACGAACCGACCGAACGGTCGGTCCGCAAAGAATCCAGACGCGGACAGAAGTTATTAGTTCCTCGGCAATCGATGCAGAGGCATGGTTCTAGACGCTCATCGATCTGCTGCAGGTCAAACTACAAGTCATATATAAGTCGAGTTACATATAAGAGTCTGGGAAGCAAATGATGCATAGGGAAGTACGTAACCACCAAAATCGGACAAGAAAATAAGATAAGGTAAGGTAATAGCAATCCATGATGCTACGGGCTAATAATAAAGTGCCATCCCAATTGGGTAAGGAGGAAAACGGCGGACGGACTTCTGCAGTGGTTCTTACCGCCTTCCGTAAATTTCCCCAATCATGCTTCACAACTTTAGTCTTCGCGTTGCACAAAGCACTTTCGACTATTCTCCAGTCATCATCCTCAAACCCAACTCTCCTCCCCCTCCCCCTCGCCACTGACGTTCCAATCTCGCAGCATGTCTGCTCCCCCGTCCGATGACGGTGACTCCCGGACCGCCGCCGTTGGACAATTGAATGGCTCCTCCGTCCGCTCCTCCCGGCAAAGTTCCCACGACCCGAACCCGAACCCTCGCAAGCGGCAACGACGCAATGGCGCCGCGGACGATCGCAAGGTGCAGGATTTTGTGCCGCAGGGGGCGACCTTCAGCGCCAACTCGCTGGAAGTAGATCCCGACGACGAGACGTCTTCCTCCGGCTCCGACAGCGAGTCTGTGGGCACCAGTTCATCCGAAGAGGAAGGTGATGCCGCAGACAAGCCGCAGTCCGCCGCCGCCGCCGGCGCGGCAGCAGCACCACCCGTCAGTTGGAACAAGGGCAGCAAGAGTGCGATTCGGACGTCACTTCGCGGGAGTCGCAATGCGGCCGAAGAGAACCAGAAGCCGGCTGCTTCGAAGTTCGACGCGGTCAATGACAAGTTCTGGCGCAGCCGGAGCGCGTCGACTTCCTCGGTCAGTGACCGTGGCCACGCCGCCTTGGACAAGTCCGATCGCGACGATGAGATGGAGGAGGGCGAGGTAGACGAGGCGGAGAGCTCTGCGGACTCGAGCCACATGCAGGGATCGGTGGACTCGGATGATTCGGATTCGTTGGACTCGGAGGCGGACGACTCGATCTTGCTGAACATCGGCGAGCGGGGCCCCGGCCAGAACCTTGGTCAGACCCAGGATGGCATTCTGACCCCCGACGGCGACGATGAGTACGAGCCGGTCACAAATGGGTACAAACGTCGCGGCGCACAAGACGATCTCATCGACTCCCCGAAGATGTCGAAGGAAGATGCACACCGCCGATACTCCCAGAGGTACCCGACAGCTCCCTCCGTCCTCGCCGATCTTCACCGGGAGGACATGGACTTCCAGGCGAAGTACAGGTTCTACGACCGTGACATCAATGCCATCGATCTCCAGCTCCCGATCGCCTGTACGGAGTGTTTACAGGAGGGCCACCTGGCTGAAGTCTGTCCCTCGAAGGAGGTATGCCTGCTCTCCCCCAAATCACAGCCACCCATCACCCCGCTCGCAGATAAACTAACCCGAAACTAGTGCGTCCATTGCAATGCCTGGAACGAACACCAAAGCAGCCTATGCCCCACCTGGCGCCGCTGCCAACGCTGTCGCGAGCGCGGCCACGACGACGACACCTGCCCCTCCGCCCTGAAAGGCTCCGCCTCCGAGACCCCATGCGACCTGTGCGGCTCGTCCGACCACCTCGAACTCGACTGCGACATGATGTGGAAGCTCAGCAACCAACACGACCCAACGTCCGGCCCCGTCCTCGTCTCGATCTCCTGCGCCAAGTGCTGCAGCAACCGCCACCTCATCGGCGATTGCCCCTCTCTCAAGAAACCCCTCCTCTCCTCCACCTGGACCCTCCACGGCATTGACCTGGGCATGATCACAAACACCAACTCGGTGGTTAACAGCCGACGTGGCGGCGGCGGCGGCGGCGGCGGCGGCCCCCGAGGCGGCCAAGCGCCGGGCCCCCGCGGGATGAAGATCCGCGGTCGGGCCGACCAGCACCGCCCACCGTCCTCCGACAGCGACGACATGATGAGTCGGCTGCGTCAGCAGCCCGTCAAACGCGGTAACAACAGCAACAACAATCGCGGACATATCCGTTTCGGAGCGGGCATCGGCACGAACAATAGAAATATTGCGCCGACGGGTGGTGGTGGTGGCTATCGACAGCGGTCCCTGTCGCCGAACGGCCGTCCGGGTCGCGGTGGTCGTGCCGGCGGCGGCGGCGGTGGAAGAGGCAGAGATAGTTACCAACCCTCATCCGGGGGTCGAAATGCGAGACCGCCACCCGCGCCCTCGCGTCCGGCCAGAGGCGGCGGCGGAGGACGCGGTGGTGGTCGGGGTGGGAAGAGAGGAGGGGGAGGGTCCGGTGGAGATGCGTACCGTCCGCCGCGGCGCTGGTAAGAAGGCCTGGGATTGATGCAGGATGTGAATGGTTGATTGAGTTGACACGACTGATACCCCCTCTACGAGTGGCTGCGGGGATAGATGCATGTTTGCGTACTTGGTAAAAAAATACCCCGGGATGATTATCTTTCTTTTATCTGTTTGTCTTAGTATCATTCCCTCAGACGAAAAGGAGCCAGGGCAGGTCCTTTCTCGCAAAGCATTATGTACAAATGCCACAAAAAGCCATTGTCTTTCTCTTTATTGATCTAAATCATTGAGCCGATGCCGCGGCCGTGGGTGCATCGGTCGCGGGAACTTTGTTCCCACCTCTGTGACCGACGAATCCACGGCCCAAGATGTCGACCAGCTCATCTAAGCGCTCAATGCAGAGATCGGTATGCTCGTGGTCTCTCAAATGAGCATTGTGGTCGTTGAGGAGGAGCACGGTCGCGGCTCCCGCCGTATGCCCGGCCGTCATATCATCGAGGCTATCTCCAACCTAACCACGGATGCAACATTAGCAAAACAATCAGTTCGTATCACTCAACCCGGCCCTTCATACAACCCTTGCACACGTGAAGTCAGAGGGCCAAGCCGAATAACGCACCATAATCAACCCCTCCCCGCCATCCTCCAACCCCCACTCCCTCGCAATATGCAGAATCCCCGCCGGATCCGGCTTGGGCAACAACCCAGGCGTCTCGCGGGTGATGATCGGCAGAAACACATGAGCCGGGAGATGATTCTGCAGGAGATTCGTCACGGGGGCCCTATTCGTTTTCATCCCACCGTAGTCAGCCTATTCCATGCCAAAGCCCCAAGACGAGAGATGGGAAAGCGCAGAGCGAGCGGGAGAAAAGCAATGCATACTCAAAGTTCCGCGTACACAACGCCCGTCGAATCCCCCTCTGCTCCAGATAATCCATCAGATCCACCAGCCCCGGTTGCGGTTGTTGGTGGCGCATGGCCTCGCGTTCGATGGCCTTGATCTTGTCGGCGGCTTCGAGTTGGGCGGAGGCGGTGGGGAGGCTGGCGATGTGGTGGAGGATGTCGGTTTTTTTGTCGATGTTGAGGACGGCTCTGTTTTTTTGGAGGTTTAGGATGGGTGGAGTTGGACAAGTATGCGCCGGGGGAAGGGTTGAGGTTACCGCATCTCGGCGAACATGTAGTTTTGGGGGAGGCTTTGCGTGGTTTGTTAGATTGATTGGGTTGGCTGAGGGAAAGGAGGGGCAGGAGGAGAAATAGAGTAAATGGTTTAGAAGAGAAAGAAGCATAGGATGAAGCAAAGATAACCTGAAAACTCACCATAATGTGCCGTCGACATCGAAGACGATGCCCCTCAGCGCGGGTGCGGAGGAATCTCGCGAGTTCTCCGCATTGAGAGGAGCGAAGCGTCGTTGACGCAACGGGGATTGCGGAGCTGCTGCGGAGGAGAGAGTAGCCATGAAGCGATGGGAAAGACGCAATGAATTGAAGGGAGAGAGGAGCATTGAATCCGATAAGATTGTGAGTCAGTCCAGGATAGTTCAGGATGTTGGAGACGGAGAGAGTGGAGAGGGAGAGTAGGAAGAGAGGACCTCGGAGGGGAGAAAGTCTGACGTTTGCGGGTCCGAGTGGCTCCGCAGCCGCCGATAAGATAAAGAAAAGTCATCGTCGATGGAATGCGGAGACAAATAACCATACACAACTACTATACACAAGTGCTGCATGGTGAATATTGGATTCGCGTCTCCTCTGCACTTCATCCATCTTCATCATGTTCATTGAAACTCAGCATGTAAGGACCCAACCACCGGGTGGTTCCTTCCTGCAATGCCGATGCACCTCCTCCTCACTGCCACTCCCACCACCACCACCATTCCCAAATCCTGCCTCCCTTAAAACAAAATAACCTCGAAATCACACCATGGAAGCATTTACTGTCTTTTTCATCTCACCACCCCCTCTCCCGATCGCCACATTTACAAACCCCAACCCACCTGCTCGATCGTCCATCATAAAAATGGCCTCTGCCCCGGGTGCCAGCCTCACTCGCGCCATCCACCTCACGGCCACCATCCTGATGCTCAACCTGCTACTGTTCGTGGCATTTCTCCGTGACATCGACCCTTCGTCCGAGCTGTCCCATCGCCACGGCCTCTGCCAGTCCATCCACCGCAAAGAGCGCCGCATCATTCACCTCAGCTCCCTCATCCTGGGCCTCGAGCCCGCCGACCCCTCCCACCCCGATGACCCCGAAGCGCATCCGCACCATTCCACCGTCGACGCGCAGGCGATGCAGAGTCTAGCGACGTCCCCCACAGCCACCGAGCGAGTGAGCGGCTCCTCGCTCCGACCGAAGCGGCCACTGCCTGCTGCGAGCATCCTCTCCCTGCGGCCGTCCAACCGCCCAGTGAAACGTAGTCGAGGAGACAGCGCCGTGACTAGCCACTCCGCCATTGGCAGCAAGACTGCGAATTCAGTGGTTGAGGTGCAGCAGCAGCAGCAGCAGAACGTCGTCTACCCGCCGCGGATGAGTGACTCGATCTACTCGGCCACCCTCAGGAGGAGTCTGTCATTGGGGTCGGATCGCCGCCAGAGTATCGTGCTGCCCCACATCCGCTATTCCGGGTTCATGACGGAGCGATTGCGGTTCAGCGTCTTGAGCCAGCCGTGGTCGATGGTCTCGGTCGTCGCGCCAGAGAGTAACGAGGTGCCCGCGCACCACCGCGCCGAGCCCGTCGTCGTCGAGGAGACGATGGACCGCTTGCAGCCGGCGTGCTCGGTGGAAAGTTATCCGGGCCAGTTCCCCATCAGCGATGGGGTGGAGTTGAGCTGGTTGGCCACGGCGACGCAGCGTCCTGGTGCTGGGCCCGCGGAGGATGAAGAGAACAACGCTCCCACTGTTGCTCCTGGATTGCAGACTTCTATGAGGCCGTATACCGAAGTTTAGGGTAGTGTGTGTGTGGAGTGTTGTCAGGTCAAAGATGTAAGTATCATTAACTGAACTGTACCTTAGAGTATACAGGCTTCCCGTGCTGTGTGGGAGAGCATTCATGCACCCGCCATGACAGGGACCTGGTATGATTGTACTGTACAATAACGAAGAGAGCCGCGCTCAGTGTATACCTTAGATGCTTTGTCACAAACAGACTTCCTTATGAATGGCATGATCCAGATACCCCATAGCCCGGACGAAGATCTTAGCACTCTCCAGAACGCGTTTCTTGCTATCCCCGTGCGTATGCATCCCCACGAAAGCGCCATACGTCGAATCGAAGTCGGTGTGCTTGATCGCCTTCCAGATATTCAGCACCTCATCCGGCGGCAAGGGTATCTACCGTCAGGTCCAAGTCAGCAAAACCCCCCCGAAGAAGGATGAAGCACCGGCAACAAGGGCGACCAACCATATTCGGATACGACCACAGGAACGTAAACGACGCCGTCCCCGGCAGTCGATCGACATGATAGATCCCACTCGGCACCGTCCCGATCGTATCCGCAATGAGCAGCGTCCGCAACGCCCACCACCACAGCACCGTACTGCCTGGGAAATGGCCGCCGGTCTTGATCACCTCCAGCTCACCTAAACCCTCACCCCTACCCCCCTCCTCCTCCTTTACATCAACCCCCAAAACCTCCCCTAAATCCAACCTCCCCGCCTCCCAAAACACCTGCTCCTCGCCCCGCCGAACAACCCACTCCGCATCCTCCGCGGCCAAGAAGACCGGACACCGGAACGCGCGCGCCCACTCCAGATGCGTGGCGTAGTAGTGCGGATGCGAGATGACGATGGCCCGCAGCCCGCCCAGCGCCTCGATCTGGGCGATCGTGGCGTCGTCCAGGAACGGGATGCAGTCCCACAGGATGTTGCCGCGGCGGGTCCGGCAGAGGAAGGCGCGCTGGCCGATGGCGAGTTTGGGGACGGTGTGGATTGCGAGGAGGGAGGATGTCGTTAGGTCGGTTTCGGGGTCGGTGCTGGGGTGGAGGGAGTGGAATTCGTTGTGGTAGGGTTGGTGGGGCTCATGGTCATGGGTCTGGGTTTGGGTCTGGTTTGTGCTGGGGTTTGGGTGGTGGCGGAGGGCGCGGAGGGTTGTCCAGGATTGTCTGGTTTGTTAGAATTTCTGGGTGACTCTGGGACTCTGGGTGATGTGCTTGTGCTGGTGCTGGTGAATGCTGGGGAACTTGGAAGGGGAGGTAGACACTGTATACGTATACTGTACGTACCCCGTTGGAGGGATGAATTGGCGGGGATCATCGCAGATCTTGCAGTTGGGTGGCGGCGAGGTGGTGGGGAATTGCGTGCCGCATGTTGAGCAGATGACGAAATCAAGAGATGATGGGGGTGAATCTGGCATGGTGCATAGGTATGTAACTAGTTATTGAAACGAGGTTGAGGACGAGAGAGCGGAGGGTGTGATGGAATACTTGATGAGGGGAGAGGCGAGGGAAGGTCTTAAGGGTCTTATACTTCGTGTTGATTACCCCGCATAAGGAACATTTCCGTGGTTCAAAACACCCATCAAACACGATAGAGCTGGGAGCCATGGCAGGTCCATGGCGGTTGGAGTCTCCATGTCATCATGACTACTACTACTAGATAGGTAGGGACTTGACATGCAACCCCCACTTATCACTCCCCACCCCCCCCATTCTTCTCATACTCTAACCCCAACTCCCCTCATGCCAGTAACCACAAACCGATAAGCTAACGGCATTCATGGATAGCTACAGTCACCATGCATAGAGCCTGGCTGCTACTTATGACCTGACACTAACTGCAATTAACAATTATCAACTAGAGGCTAGAGCCAGTCTACACTCACACTCCAGTCACCGCATCAAATCAAGTCAATATGTAGCGCATCACTATACGACAGCAAATGGATACATGGTATAACAAAATTCACAGCCACAACCTCGTCCACCCACACAAAAAGAAATCACGCTCGCACAAATGCAAGACGCTGGTCATAGCACATGGTGCAACTAGTCATGTCATTATGTCGTAAACGGTCCGCAGGCAACAAATCAAAACAATAAAAAGAAAGGGTATCAACTGAAATCAGAAACGTCTAGTCAAGCTCGGCATCAACCTGCTCCGGACTGGTCGCTCGATACTGGCTTCGCTTCCGTCGCGCCGGGCTGTACTGACTGCCCGAGTTGAGGGGACGAGGCCCCGTCGGTTTGCGCGGGGGAGGCGTGCTGCGTGGGGATTGAACAGCAGAACTCTACAGAAATCTCGTCAGCATAGCTCGTCTCAGCCGTCCCTTCCAGGAATGCACACTGACCCGTGAAACGACACGATCCATATACGACCGCTCGTCGTCATCCTTAACCTTGGGGGGCCTCTCCGGGATCAGGGGCCCTTCGTCTTTGATCTTCGGGGGTCGCGGGGGTCCCGTCTGGCGAGAACTGGCTTCTGAATAACCTGCGTCCGAGATGGGGGATAGCCGGCCGCCACCACTGTAGCGCGGATTGGCATTTACACCCGACAAGCTGGGATTCGATCCCCAGTGGTCGGACGGTGCGGTGTAAACCTGAGCCTGCGTTTCCAGCTGGGATTGGTACCGTCCGGTGGGTCCTTGGCGGGGCTGGGGATGGTGCAGGTCGAGGCTACCGCGGTGAGCCCGGTACTTGGGCGTTTCAGACACCTGAGATGGCACCAACGGCGACGGTGGTCGGTTCTCATGTTGCTGGTCATCTAAGGTGTAAGTGGAGCGCAGTCGATCTTCGCCCTGAGGATCATAATAATTTGTCGTTTGATATGGCCCCTGTGCGAGGTCGGACCCGGAGCGCGAAGCATCAAAAGACGCCCGCTCTTTGCGATTCGGTTGAATGCTGTTGCGGATGTTGTCACCCATCGACGAGGCGGTGGTCTTTGACCAGCGTGAGATTTTGGGAAAGAACGAAGAGCTGCTGGATTTGTGCTTCTTTGCCTTCTCGGTAGTCTTCGGGGTGGTGTCAGTGCTAAGAGCCCCCGAAGCCATCGCCTCCCGAGGGGGTGTTGAGACAGGAGCCGAGCCAGCTCGGTCCTGTCGGTTGTTGGGGTTCGGCTGAGACACTAGGTGAGGGCTCAGGAATTCCCCGCGATCGTCTTCCATATCCTCATCAACCTCCTGGACCGTGCTCACACGGTTCTCGAGGCCCTTCCGGAACTGATTTGGATCCTGGACGAGCTGTGACGACGTCGAAAGGTATTCGGAGGGATTCCCAGGAGAGGAAGTTCCCGAATGACCTTCTGGCTCATAGCCTTCCGGATCCACGCTGGCAGCCCGGTTACCATTGCGCGGAAACCCGTGATCCTGATTGTGGCGGAGAGCCTCAACCTCCTCCAGCAATTGCTCCAACATATCCTCGATCTTGGTCAGATCATTCGAGTTCTTCATACTCAGGCCCTTAAGCGCACGCTTGAAGATGTTCTTGCGCTTCTGGCTCAGTTCCTCGCCATCGTCCACAGACATTTGACGAGCGCTACGCGCACTGACCGGCAGTGGGCGCGGTCCGCCAACAGCCCGATATGTACGCTCGTGCTGTCTGTCGCTGGCCTCCATGAGCATTCCATCTTGCTGAGCGATGAACTTCTTCATTTCCTCGAACGAGTTGCGCATCTCGGCCGCGCTTCGAACCAGCGTCACCAGAATTTCCGTATCTCTGGCGTTCCGTTGCGCATCGCGTACAGTAAGCTTAGACAGTGTCAGCAGAGTTGTCTAAGTATTGATGAAAGGGAAATGGAACTTACATGGTCCATGAGTGCGACGATGTCCTTGGACTGAATACGATCGATGCCTTTGCCAGTGGCACTATCATATAGCGGAGATCCAACCCCATGGGAGTACCCACTCAGCTGTCGCTGATGGCCGGGTATGAAATCATCAGCTCCCATGGGACTGTCGAACATACCCATGTTGGCATCAATCCCTCCCATCCCTTTTTTCAATGGTTCAGGCGTATCAACGCTTGGAGAACGGGGATTGGCAGCCGAGACATAGCCCTCGTCTTTGGCTCCAAGAGGTGTCCCATACAATTGCCGCGAATATTGTTGGTCGTAGTAGTCATTTGCAGCATATTCGTCCTCGGGGTAATATTCCTGGTCGTATTGTGCGTGGTCGACCGACCCCAAACCCAGGCCCGCACCAGCAGCCGCACCAGCAACGGCGCCACCCTTATCGAAGAGAGGAGACGGAGCATCTTTGGAAGGCGTCTGATTGAACGACCAACTAGCTTCTTGAGCCGCCGGTCCTTGGATAATGGAAGGATTGGTATTGATTTCCGATTCAGTATCTGGAAGTGGGTCTTCCTCGGGAAGGGGGCTCTGGTCGCGGATTCCGGCGAACATGTGAGTCGGATCTGTCAAGTCTTCATAAGACTGGGTCACACTCTGCGGAGGCGAAGTGGCACCCATACGTCTCGGGAACGATGTAGCATCAGGACTTGACACATTGTGGCCTTGCTTGAGAGGGCTTCCTTGGCGAGAAGCATGAGGAGTCTCATCCAATTTGTCCATCGCCTCATCCCGATCGCTCTCGGCTTGTTCGGGAATGTCGTTCATGGAGCGATTAGCAGCAGACTGACTGGACTTGGTGTCTAGAATAGTGGGATCCAAGAGCGAAGCCACTGCCGACTCTACGGCGAGGGGATGGACAAAGCGAGGATTGGCGGCGACACCTTCAGCGACAGGTTGGCCTTGCTTCGCGTGGTCCATGAAAGTAACCTCGCTGTCCTCGTTGTGTCCAGGCATTCTGTTGCGCTCAGTGCTCGCAGTCGAGTGGGCATAGTCGTCGCCGTCGTCTTCTCCATCCGAATGTTCAACCCAGCGATTGCCTCGTGGCGATGCTCTAGGCGTCTCCTCGTAGCCCAGCTCGTGCCCAGGGTCATATTGGTTTCGAAGGGACTCAGTCTGACTATTGATGCTGAGTCCTTCCGGGCGGGTTGACCTTGCGAGGTTGGTGCTGGGAGCAGACGAGAGCGAATCAATGGACAAACGCGGCTCCAGCCCCTTTTCATCGTCGGAAAAGTCGTGGTGATCATAAGAAGTCGAGTTCTGCTTTACTGGAGACTGGCTGATGTTGCTCGCCACGCTTTGAATTGGGCTGAGTGTCCGTCGTCGGCTTGTGAGATCACTATAATCGGTGTCATGGTGTCCTGCATGTACATCAAGCAAGTTGGCTGCAGCCGCCGCCGCAATAGCTCCGGCCGAAGCACCTCCGACGGACGAATGACTCGAGACGCTGCGCAGAGACAAGTTATGGCTAGATAGGTTGCTGTGCTTGAGCTTCAAATCATGCTGCGAGTCCAGAGAAGCCTGACCCGGGGATCGTGGAGTAGGGGAGATGGTTTGGTAAAACGACCCACGCGAGATGTCGTGTTCTTTAGACTCCTCGTAAGAATAGGGATCGGCAGACTGCTCTGAGAGCAGTGAAGCCCTTGTCAGATCTGACTCGATTGCACTGCGTAATGGCATGGGAGCAATGTTGTGTCTCTGGAAGACCAGCTCAGTCTCGTTGATGCCTCCTATCGGGCTCTGGGGGCCGCTGCTTCTGCGTCTACCTTCGCTACTAGCCAAGCTCGATCGCGAATCGTGATGCTGGAGAGCCGCCGCTGTTAGGGCGCTACCGACGAGGCCCGCTTTTTCTGCCTCGCGCAGCCCTTTGCTTCGCTGGCGCCGCAGCTTTTCTTGCTCAGTCAACTCTGGTCGATTGGCCCATTTGACGTAGCCAATATCTGGAGACTTCTCGCTACCCTTACTCGATCGCCGCTCGGCCCGAGAGGGGACTGAATCTCCCGAAATAGTGATCCCCTCGTCACGACTATCCTTGTTGAGAACAACTTTGGGCTTCCTAACGTCAGGCGCACTTGCGTGTTTTGACAGTCGCCTTCCGAGTCCATCCCGTGACGGTGTACTGGCGGAGGAGTGCGAGGCATTCATGTCCCGGTCAAACTTGGAAGTATTCGACATGACTTTTTGGTCTTTCTTCAGCTCTTTCAGTTCGGGCAGGATCAACCTCCGAATCGCGTCTTCGACGGTTTCAAGTAGTTTCGGGTTGTTGATGGACGATTTGGAGGTCCCGGATCGGAAGGAGTACTGGTCACCGGATCGGCGATGCGAGGAGACGGCCGAGGCGCTGAGGAGGCTGGACTCGGGACTGATCATGTCGTCGTGCCCTCGATGCCGGGAAGACTTGAGATCGGCCTCCTCACTGTCGTCAAACTTACTTTTCTCTGCCCGTCGACGCTGTCGGGAGCCGTCGCGAGGATCGCTGCTAAGCTTTTCTGCCACGCGATGAGCGATCCGCTCGGTGCTTAGGCTGCGACTTCTTTGTCGTCTCGGGGTCTTAAGGTAGTCCTTGGACTCGTGGCTTGGACCTCGCTCTAGGCTTTGACTGCGTTTGCGACGGAGGCCAGACGAGGGGGTATCCAGCATGCTATCTGCAGGCATGGAGGAGATATCCGAGGCGGGCAGCATGTACCGTGTGTCGCGCGACAGGCTGGAAACCTCACTACCACGATGGCGATCCATGAGCTCAATCTCAACGGGGGAATGACCAGGAGGCTGGTTCTCATCGGTAGCTGAATTGGAGGAGCTTATACTTTGATCATCGGGGCCGGACTCGGCCAGTAACCGGTGCTTGTGGGGCGAGCTGAGGGAAATGCGGCGGGAATAAACCGGTTTACGGTTGCCGCTAGACTCGGTGATTTGAATATGGTCTCTTTGGTCCTTCAGCTTCCGCGCGGAGGAAGGGGTCACTCGGACACGGACGCTGGGCCGCGAAACCAGGGAGCCAGAACCCTTCCCGCCCTCGAAATACTCGATGAGCAGGGAGGTCTGGGAGTGTTGCGACGAGCGGGACAGCTTGGAATCGTCCCCGCGGGAACGATGGTGTTGTTTCCGACGGGTGGGGATAGTGACGGGAGTCCCGTCGTCTGGAATGGAGTAAGAGGTTTTGTCTGTGCGGCGAGAGATGTCAGTTGCCAGATCAGTGCCTGTGACGCTGCCGCCGGTGGTGTTGGTGTCGACAATGGATTCAGTGGGGGCAGGCAGGACCGGTCTGCGGCGCGTTTCGACGCCCATCATGGTCGATAAGGAAAAGAATCGAGAGAGTAAGTCTCGTTGTCTTTTCCTTTCTCAGCCAACCCGAATCATAATCGGGTTCGGGGTTTCTTTTTTTAGGACCTTGAGAGGGGGGCTGATCTCTTTTTGCTCTTAATCTGAGATCTGGAGAAGGGGGAGAAAGCGTGCAGAAAGAAAGGAGGGAAGGGATAAGAAAGGAAGAGTAAAGGGCAAACGATGAACAGAATGGATGGATGGATGGATAGATGGTAAGGCTGGATGACAGGAACTGGTTCTGGATCCTCGACTGCCAGTTAGCAGATTGGAGTCTCACCACAAGCTCGGACCGATCGGAAGGTGCAGTAAGTGGGTTGGAGACAGTGGCAGACAGTGGCAGACAACTGCAGACAAATAGATGCAAGCAAAGATGAAAGTGAGGAGGGAGTGGGGATGGAGGCAGGAAAGGTAAGGATGCGATCAATATCAGCAACAAGCAAAGGAAGAACAGCGTACCAGCACTGGAGAGAGAGAGGGTGGTGGGGAAATGGATGGATGGATGGATGGACGGTTGGATTAGACGCGATTGTAGCAACGCTGGGCGACTCTCTCTCTCTCTCTCTCTCTCTCTCTCTCTCTACACCACCCGCGGAAGAACTCAGAAAGATAGAATGACCTTAGTGAGAAAGTCGACGACTGGGAGAATAGGAAGAGAGGGAGAAAGAGAACGTGCGATAGAGCGCGAGAAGGAAAGAAGAGGCGAGTTGTTGAAGATCGCTCACTGGGAGTGGATAACTGAATCAATCAATCAATCATCTAGCTGGTGGCCATGTGCATTCACCGCAAGAGTCCCCATGCATTGGTGGCTGTCCAGCCAGAGATCACCGAAGGAGAGAGGGGAAGGAAGCAAAGGCAAATTAGGTTGCAAAAAGAAACAAATGACAATGTTCAAGAATAATCAAAATCAAAATAAATAAATAAAATAAAATAGTAATCTAGACGGAGGAGCACCTGGAGGAAAAGGAAATCCAATTATCAGCCCAAAGAGGGAGGGAGCAGAAGTGAAGGAGATGGAATCAGGTACAAGACAGGGTTTGGCGGGAATAACTCCGAAGCTAACAGAGGAAGAGAAAGAGGGGAGGGGAAAAAGTGGGCAAGCAGAAAAAAAAAAGCAGAAGGCTGGTCAAAGAACATCAACACTTGATGATGGCTAGTTGGATTTAGCTGTTAAGTCAGTACTCATAAGATAGCCACCACTAACTACCACCTTCTTGTTCTTCCTCCTCCTTCTCGTCGTCGTCCCAGCCAAACTTAAGTAAGGTACGCAGATTACAATGGATGAGCTGGCACAGAATCGATTTTCTGAGACAGAAAATAAAATTCGAGACAGGGAAAAAGAAAAGAAAGAATTGTCACCCAACAACAACATCGAAACAATAAGAGCACCACTTTCGCCCTTACACTAAGAGCATAAGCACCACTCTTCAGCCTCGCTCTCTTTGGGTTTCCCACCTTATATTCTGCTGAGTGAGCTTTGATCGTCCTCGCTTTGGGTGTCCATTGCTCTCTTCCACGTCGGTTGGGATCGGTAGAAGTGGGCTTTCCCCTTCTTACGTGTATGTATGAGCGAGTAAGTGTGTGAATCCCAGCAGAGTGAGATCCATGCAAGGTGACCGAGCTTTGCGCGATGATCTGAACCTCCCCTTGGGATTGAAGTCTAGATAAGTACCACTTATCCACCTCCAGAGATGTTTTCTCGAATCGTTCGACATCAATCGCTCTCCTCTCGGGTTTCCCGGTCTTGCCACACTCAACCTGAACCGCAAGAAAGCCTCGAGCTCCGTAGGATAGGAATTTTCCGCGCCAGGGATGTGGTCGGCGGTTCATACCCACCATGAAGCGACAAACGGGTTATTGCCTCCGTGGTGCAACCCAAGATGTGATCTGTATCCTGTCCGTCTGGCATTCTGTGTCTTGGGTGGTCCTATAACCGTTGTACAGGTGTGAGAGGGGAGGAGAGCCAAAGCGAACAAAAGAGCGAGTCGTCTTTCATCCACCCATTCTGGCAAAGACATGAGCTGGAGAAGAACAGGTTGTCGCGAATTGCGACCAGGAAATTGGCTGGGATTTATAGAGCATGAAACACGAGCAACCAGAACATTTGTAAAAGCAGCCCTCTCTATGACCCATCATAAATTCGCCACGATCTTCACAGCTGAAACGAAGCGGCGTCACTGTTGACCATCACCACTATGGGTACGGAGTACTACTCCAGTATCATCACCTTCATCATCATCTGCTTCATAGCGGAGAGCATCAGATTCAAACGACTAGTGTAGGTACCGCAGAGGGAGACCGATCCAGGACTCCAGGTTATCCCAGCGGTGGGCCTGTCCGACCCGCCGCGGACCCGCGGGCTCGAGAGTCTGTTTTGTTCCCCAGGCCGCAGGCAGAGCAAAGCTCCAAAGTAGTCAAGGGCCAAGGTCCCACCCACAAGGCCTGTTCGTCTTTTCTTTCTTGAACACCCGCCGACCGGACGCGGGTCTCCAGGACGACCAACGTTCCGGTCTCTTCGGACGATAGAAAATCTGCCAACTCATCACATCCCGTCGAATGCGAGACTCCCTCGTTGATTGGTGACCACCGTCACGAAGGTCATCCAGTAGGACCACAACGATCAAGGTTCAGGCTGCTTACTGCCATGTCGCATGCAACGTTGGTTTTTTTTTTCTTTTCTCAATGTAGCCATGGGATGGTGCCAGTTGAATGGGTGGATTCACGGGACGAACGACGGCAGGGGGATCCATCCATAGGTCACCCACTCACTTATCCTCCCAGCCACCGGAAGGGGAGGAGAAAAGAGAGACTCTACCCGACCAGCCACCTATGCTCCTTGCAAGTGAAAGACAAGGCTTGACAGCAAGATGCATCTAACTGCCGACGCTGTTTTTCTCACAATTGGAAGTCTGTCCTGCGGTGAGAAACCCGATCGGAGGGAGGAAGCAAGCAATGGCAGCCGGCAGTTAGGCAGGAGTCAGGACGCATATCGGATGTGCAGCCGTTTGACGGACCGGGCAGCAAGCAAGTTCTTTTGTCGCATGGATTGTGTTTTTCTGCGAAAGAACAATTGTTCAACCACACGAGCAGTGCCCGTATGGGGTTAATTTGTACCCAACCCAATAAGGCGAATTCGAGTAGAAGGCGGAGAGGAAGAGTTCAATCTTTTTCTGGTCACTGAGAAGTGTAGAAATCTCTCGTCACAGCCCTTCATTCTTTCCTGCCAGATTAGGCAGGTAGATCTATGATCATGGATGATCAATGATATGATGGATTGAGGAGGTACTGTATGGAACCTTGAACCCTGAGCTGGAGGCCATGCCACACCTGGTGAATGCCAACTTTAGTAGTGTGGTATATCTGGGTTTTCGACTTATTCAAGCCCGACCTATTGACTCTAGGTAGCTAAGATATCGATTTTACTGCTTCTGATGTCCAATATTGCGCTGAGCTCGGATCTGTTTAGAGCTTACATCTGACAGGAAATGCATGGAATTGGCGGTTGTACCACTCATATTACCGCACGCATTGTCAAAGACCCCAATCTTGGATGTAATGCGCATCTTTGATCATGAATCATGGGACTACAGGCCAGTCTGTAGTTTCTTCATTACGAAGAGACGGAGTATGACGGACCCAGCGACTTTGATGCGATGTTACTCAGCCATTACTGAATTGCATTTCAGCATATGCATCAGAAAGTATTTACTATCCCCTCATAGCGAGGACTTCGATGCGTCTGAATCCCGCCTCCTGCTCTGATTGGATGCTCGGATGAAAAGAGAAACAATTAACAATTGTGAATCAACCATATGTAGTAGACAAGCCAAATATCCACAATATCGAACTCCGAGACTATATGCCAATACTCAAAAACCGCACAATGTTACAATCAATCACTTTTGCTCTGCGCTGACTCATTCATCGTCGTGCTTCCGCTTGAACTTCAGCCCCTTGTTATTGGGCTGGCTGCCGTAGTTGCGCCGTCCCTGCTGCTGCTGCTTCTTGTCGCGGCTCATGCTGGAACCCAGTGTGATATCAATGCGGGGTGGCGTCGAGAAGCCGAAGCCCTTGGCCACCTTGACCAGGTCGAGTTTGTGCACGTCGAAGACGGAGCGGAGTGAGTGCGATGCATAGGCCTGGAGGTAGGCACGGTAGCCTTCCTTGGCGGACTGGATGAGACGTTAATATCCGGGTCGGAACAACAAAGACAGTAGTCCAGCTTACCTTGTTCAAGTAGTAGTTCTGTCCGATCAGCTTCTCAAGCTGAGACTGGACATTGACGATCTTGCTGGCGGGGAAATCGAACTCCACAACGGGAACACGAGCCTCCTTCAGGTGCTTCAAGAATCCAACCTCGGAAGGCTGAAGGAACATCAGACTGCGTCCCTTACCGTTCACACCACGAGCCGTACGACCGACACGGTGAACGTAGTCTCTGGTGTCATCTGGGGGATCGAACTGGATGATCCAGTCGACGGCCGGAATCTAGAAAGGAAGAACGTCAGAATTGTGGCTCGTAATAGTGAATCATGGTAACGTACATCCAAACCTCTAGCAGCAACATCAGTACAGATCAAGGTTCCCTGTTTGGCGTTGCAGAACTCGAAGAAGGTGTTGGTGCGCTTCTGCTGCTTCTGCTTGCCGTGGAGGTCGAGAACGGGAAGATCAATGTAGTTGAGCAATTCAGCGTGGTACTTGACGCAGTTACAGCTGGAGAAGAAGACAATGATCTTCTTCTTGAGGTTGCGCTTGAGGAAGGAGAACAGAAGCAAGAAGCGCTTGTCCGCTTCACAAATGACGTAGCCTTGCTCCAGGCCCTCGACCGTACTATGTTCCTTGCGGTGGTCAACGTTGATGTAGAGAGGGCCAGGTCGCAGCGAAATGCGAGCCAAGTCCTCGACCTTCGTGGTTTGCGTAGCGGAGAATAGCATCGTCTGTCTTTCCTCGGAGGGCAGAATCTTAACAATCTGGCGCATTTCATCCTCGAAACCGACTTCAAGAATACGGTCCGCCTCATCTGAAAGATGTTAGACCATCCAAGTTACGATAATTCAATACCGACTTACCGATAACAAGCGTCTTCAGGTTCTTGAAGACAAATCCGGGGGTGTTCTGCAGGTGATCGAGCAAACGTCCGGGGGTGGCAATAAGCAAATTCACACCCTTGGTGAGTTTCTCGGCCTCAGCTCTTCGGTTGGCACCACCGATAACAATACCATACGTCTGGGAGTGGTGTGCCATTAATTCTCTAGCGACACCAAAGATCTGCAGGGCCAGCTCTCTGGTGGGGGAAACCACAAGAACACCAGTACCTATGACAAGCGAATTAGCACGCAACCGGATCGAACGATCGAGCTCATCGGCAACGAACCGTTACGGGGCTTGAACCGCAGAGCGCTCAACATCTCCACAGCAGGAATCAAAAATGAGAGAGTCTTTCCAGAACCAGTCTTCGCAGCACCGAGAACATCACGACCAGCGAGCAGCGGGCCGATGGTCCGTTGTTGAATTTCAGTCATGGTCTCGAAGCCCATGTCCTGAATAGCCTTCATCGTCTTCTCCGAGAGGTTCAATTCCGAGAACTTCTTAGGCTCCGAGTCCGTCGTAGGCAGACGGACAGTATCGATCGAAGGAAGGTCGGCACCGGCAGTCTTTTCATCATCGGCGCTCTCCTCACCCTCGCCCTCTTCCTCTACCTCCTCCTGGCGGATCTCCTCGTCGCTGTCATTCTCATCCTCGTCGGAGTTGTCGACTCTGCGCTTCTTGGAGGACTCCTTCTTCTTCTTATTCTTGTCGCTGTTCTTTTTGGGGGTCGTGCTAACTTCCTCCTCCACAGCATCGGCCACTTCGGTCACGGCTTCATTCTGGACTGGGGAGGCTTCCTCGTTGTTGGTCGCAGGACGGGCGCCTCCGCCGTGCTTTCTCTTGCGCTTCTTAGAGAGAGATTTGGCGGAGTCCACGGGGATCGGCATTTTCGCGGAGTTGTTTGGTGTCGACGAATCCCTCACTGCGAAAAAAAAAATAGATCTGGTGGTGGAAGTGCAGGGCCTGGAATCGCGAGGCCGCTTTTCTCTTTTTTTTTTCTCCGTTTCTGCCAAACTCCGCGTCACGTGCCGATAGGAGAATGATAAGGGTGAGCCACAGGAGCCAGATGCCTGAGGCATACAGAAACTATATCAAAGCACATCCCTCCGATGCGCTTCAATAGCAGGAAACTCAAAATTACGACTGATAATCTCTTTTAGGTGGCAACTTGTCAGCCCGAATAATACAGAAGGACATAGATGCTATCAAGTGACAGACTACGAGCCGCATATTGTCGAATTGTGAAGGCTTGCCGCTTGTCAGGTAGGTAGACATCTTGGCATCAATCAGTCTAATAGGTATCATGCCTATAGGACTATACCAAATCAACTAGTCGTGTAAAGCACGTCGCTTCAGCCTCTGGGCTCATTCTATTTCGATGGAATCAGGAGCAAGCCTTGACGTTCATGAAACATGTCGACGTTATCTCTGGGGGACTATTGCGAATAGACATAATACTGCTCCAGAAAACAACAATTATGCTGCCTGCCACATGAGCCCTCACTCGCATTACTGTCCTTGGTACCGCAATCTGCGGAGTTCTTGGGGCGGTCTCAGGCCGATGAAATGCTTGTTATTCCAATCAATTCGGTTGCATAGCCACGAAAGAAATCATGAAATGATACCCAAGTGACAAAAAAAGGAGAAGAGCTCTGTCAGGAGAATCCGACAACATTCAACCCTAACCAAAACGTACGGCAGTATATGAATTTGACTGTGAAGAAAAGAACCGCAGCATTGGGCGATAATGGAATCTAATTGGCCTCACCCCATCCCACAAACATGACCATGAACGATGTGAGCCTCTTGCAAGTACGGCAAGATTCGTATACTTCTAACATTTGATTCCGTGGAAGCCTGGCGCTTTGCGCAAACCGCCAACCTACCCCTTTTCGCTAGTTTCGTCCAAGATGGCGTGAAAGGAGAAGAAGCCGCTGTGGAGCAAACTGTCAAGCTCTCCAATTGTTCGGAAAGACATGAGAACCGTGAGACAGATCTGCTGTTGTACTCGGTAGGGTGCCTTGAGAACGTAAAAGTGGAACTGGATTAGATAATTTGAGATCTGCCGGTTTTATCACAACCCATGATTGGCATTCGTGGAAGAGCTTCAGATCATACCTATAGAGGAAGCGGTAGAGGTAAATGAAGGCGGTCATAAAAAGTTGCCACTGGCCCACATTTACGTTCTGAAGGCACCCGGGCATAGTAGCTTCCATTCTGCTAGTCCAACTGGTAAGTCTGAAGACAGCCGAGCAATGGTCAAATGAAACAGGCCTGTAACTCAAGGCGAGTTCCGGTATGTATATACTATACTGTATCCTTTGCTCCATGCTCGCCTTGCGAGCTCTGTGATTGGACAACAAGAGTCTCATTGGAAGCGTGTGCTGGAACATGGATGGATGCCATTGTTGTACGGCCGGCTGGGGCAGCCGAGACGCGAAGCACGTAGACACGTCATTGTAATGTGGGAACCGAAGATCCGTTCACATAACACTGAAAGCCATTGAGAGTTCTTGTTTGTCCATAAAGACTGACATACTTGCATGGGTACAGTAGGGGGGGGGGGGTAACTAAGGATTCCCAGCCGTGTCTTGAGAAGGTTTATGCGTACACAAGATCCCCAGCCAAAGTGCTTGCGTATTAGGCAACCGAATGACTAAGGAAGTTCGCTCGGGACCTCGGGTACGTTTTACCGTGCTGGGGGCTGAGAGCCTGGACCAAGCAAACATGGGCTGCACAGAGCAGAGCCTCCAGAAGCCCAAGGGGTGAAGTCACTGCAGAAAAGTGCACCTTGCATGTTTTAACAGATCATTGACAGCTAAGAGATCGGATTGAAAGGTCAAGTCGGCTGGAAGAATGCACAACGGGAAAAAATAGGGTTGTGTTGCGGAGCAGAACGACCGCTCGAATTCATCGTAGGCTGGACTAGATTCCACAATGGATCGTGTGGCGGACAGCCACGCAAATTTTTGGTAGGTTAATTTTCGAAAAGAATTTGCAAGTTCCAATGCCAAAAATAGGATGGGGCGTGCCATGGTTCGCAGCGCCCAGCATGTTGGAGTGAGTTTGAACTTTGGACCCTTTTTCTTTTCCGATTATTAAGGTAAAAGGTACCGACCGGTCTGGGGAGGGCTGGTGCAGGTGCAGGTGCTCGTCAGCCCCTCCAAGAGAACGTTCATGGAGATATTCTTCGATCGATTGCTGCATGACTGTCTTCTCTTTTACTGATTGAGACATGATATCCCATGGTCAAATCTATGGTCAATAATGTATGGGGTTGGAGTGGATCAATGGGGAAAGACGTCATGATGCGTAGACACGGACGGCCAAGTGTACAGTCAGATACCGTTTTAAAGTGGTAAAAGATCGACTGCCCCTTCCCTTGCTGATCAGGGACGCACAGAAGATGTCGAGCACAAACAAAATACTCCATACTTCAAGACTCATTTGCTTGTGAATCACGGAGTGGTGGAGAGGGCATAGTACGATTTGTCTCACAATGTCATCAGTCAGATCGTGTTGTACACTGTAAAAGAGACAACTTTGCTTGAGATTGATTAAAGGAGTTCATAGTCCCACATCTGGTGCTGTGCGGGAAGGACCTGGAGTTAATCAACTGCTGTAGAGGGAGGCTGTGCAGTAAGACTCGGGCTGTTGGTAGTAGTCTGTAACTAGGCAAAAGGATACGAATACGTCGAGGATCAGATAGTTCAACCCGAAGTACTCAGTAGTCAGCAGGTGTAACTATGGTACGGTCAATTGACATTCCTCTGGCATCTGTCTTTTTCAAGTTCGCAAAGACAACCTGAAGTCAAGCTTAACGCCCTACCAGATCGAACAATCTAGGCGCAGTCGACGACAAGCGATCCGATGGTTCATGAGAAGTCATTAGACACCAGAAGAGCCCTATACTCAGTCCACCATAGTTCGCGGGCGGATTAAAAATGGTCAAAGGCACGGGACGGGATCGATCAGCATAGTTCTCCCGCTTATACTACTGGATCAATATGCGCCGACCAGTTTCAGCTTCTCGCTCGTGGGAAATAGTATGAGTGAATAGATATGTCCGTTTAAAAATAGCAAGAATATCACTACCACCGGCGAGGTCAAGTGCAAGTGCAACAAGAAAAATTAAAGAGCGAAGATCTGATTTGTCGCAGTCTTGCGCATCCATACTTACCGTAGTACTGTAACTTACCAGTGACTACCTAACTGACGGGCATCAACTCGAGTATGAACGCCCGTACTCGTAGTCAAAAAGATCCACTCACTCAATTAGGCTGGCTTGAGTGTCCCAGACCTCAAAGAGTCCAAACGTAACGTGGACTGGTTATGACAACGACAACGACAACGACAACGACACTACGTAGGTAGCAGCAGTCGAGTGGAACTCCAGCGTAGACTCCAAATCATAGAATCCGTGGGTACCTACTCCGTAGATTGGGACCATCCAGATTCGCCCAGTCGCAGTCGCTTTCCCACTTCAGCGCCCCAAGGTTTATCACTCTGGGCGGTAAGAGAAAGGCAAATCAAAGTCAAGGGCGGAGCGACGGGAGAGAGAGAAGCTCAGCGAGAGAACACCCGCATTCGGCCCAGACCCAACCCCCCTGAGGGACGCGCGTGCACTTAGGTACTACGAGGTACGGAGTACGCATAACTAATGGTACTCCGTACTGTAACTAAGCATTGCATGGTACTCCGTACCTTGTATGAGCACTCCGTACAAATGATCACACTGTAGAGGTAGGTCACCAGAGAGGTATGCTTAGCTTTCTGTCAGCACCAGCGGCAAATCTCTCATTCCTGTTTTGATTGACATTTTGGCCCTTCTTGATCAGCATAGCAGCGGTAGTAGAAGCAGGAGCAGGAGCAGCATCAGCATCAGCATCAGCATCAGCATTAGTGCATACCTGGAAGAGGGACAGGGCCCCCACGGAACAAGAAGACCCCAGCCAATTTCTGTCATCTTCCTCTTCTCTTGATTTTCTTATGCCTTCCTTCATATATATTGCCCCAAAAGATCCAGGATTGGGATTGGATTTATGTAGGCCCAGAAGAAATTGAATAAAGTACTATTCTCAGTACACTGTCGAGATAATTTAGTGAGCGAGGAGTGGTAAGGTAATCAGAATACAGTCTCCATTAATACTAAGTAGGTACACTCAGGGCGCTTAGCCCGATTGAGCTGAGCCCCACCTATCCGTGACAAGGCCACCCGCGCTGTTGATTGGCCCCCGACCAACTGCCCCCCGTGCTGAGTCAGCCGGCAAGAGGGTCTCAGGTGGTTTCACAAGCATTCCCGACCGTCTCTCCTACGACCAGCTCCGGGTCTCGCTCGCTCTTTCGTTCTCTTCTCCCCTGAAGAAAACACTGAACGACGAAGAAGAAGCAGAGAGTGTGTGAAACTTGATAGTGAGAGAGACTATCGACGAAAGAGAGGTCTCTTCATTCTCGTCTTTCGCTTCCCTTGTATTTTGTACTTACCTTCTTTTCCCTTCGTCTCTCTCTTTCTTCCTCTCTCTCTCTCTCTCTCTCTCTTTCGTTTTGCTCGGCTTGCCCTTCACTTGACTGAAGGAGGGTGTGAACGTTGTTTCTTAAGCAGCGCACCCACTTTAAGGGAGGAGACTCAGGCACCCGAATTCGACCCGGTCTCCTGTCCCTTTCTTCCACCACCACTTCCACCACCACCACCACCCCTCCTCCCGACAACTCCTCCAGGGCCATACTGTGTGTGTCGCCGTCCACGCTCATTCATTATTCGAATTTCTCCAATTTTTTTTCTAAGCCACACACTCGCTTTCAAAAACTACTCGACTTCCAGTCTGACACTCGCTTATATACTCGAACTACTGCGTCCTCGTCACTCCTTTGACTAAATAGAATTACTTAGCCGATCATTTACCCTGTTTCTTCTACCAACCACCGCCTTGAACCATCAATGACGTTGTGAACCGTAATTCGCAACGATACGTTCCTAGACTACCGATCCATCTCAATCCTCAACCATTGGAAGCACCTCTTCCCTGGAACCTGATTCATTAAAACCCTCCCGCAGGACGACATTCGACTTCCCACGACTTCCGCTTTCGGCTTGCGCCAAGTTGGTGCTCTGGAGTACCACCCTTCGATTTGACCGCCCCGATTACTACGTCTTCTCCGCATTACTACATAAAATATCTGACAGATCCCCTCCGTGGCAGTTAATGATATTGTTGTCATCGGACACGGCTCGGTCAATATGCGATTATCCTCCATCCTCTTCGGGCTTTTCCTCGCCTTGCTCAACGCCCTGCAGGTGAATGCCATTAAATTGATCGAATCTAGCGCCCTGAATTTATGCCAAGCGAGCAACAACTTTACTGTCACCTACTTCAGCGTCGTATTCACTCCCGGCAATCGCTCACTCGCCTTCAGTTTCGATGGAGTTTCAGCAATTTCCGGCTACGTCACTGCGGAATTGCAGCTCACAGCCTACGGCATCAGTGTCTTGTCAGAGACCCTGGACCCATGTGAAATGGGCATCGCAGGCCTTTGTCCTATGAATACCGGTGCCATTGATGTTGCCAAAGCTACCCTGGACATCCCCGAGTCGGTGATCAAAGATATCCCAGGTGAGTAGCGCCCCATGGCAATGGCGATGCCTTGCAGCGCCTAGGCCTGCTAACCGTTCTTTCCTAGGCATCGCCTATACTGTTCCCGATCTCGACGCTAGTGTGCGTATCTACATCAATTCCACGTCAACGAACTCCAGCATCACCTGCATGGAGGCAGAGCTTTCAAACGGCCAGACGGTTTATCAAAAGGGTGTCGGCTGGGCAACTGCCGTCATCTCCGGATTAGGTCTCGCCGCCTCTGCCATCACATCGGGATTGGGGCACTCAAACACTGCAGCCCATGTCGCAGCCAATGCCCTTTCCCTGTTCAGCTTCATGCAGTCTCAGGCCATGATTGGCATGACATCGGTACATATGCCCCCGATTGTTGAAGCTTGGACCCAAAACTTCCAGTGGAGTATGGGTATCATCCACGTCGGCTTTCTGGAGGATATTTGTACTTGGTATCAGAGAGCCACCGGAGGTACCGCTGCGACGCTACTATCGAGTCTGTCGACAACTTCGGTCGCGACCTACAGACGTAGAAAGCGTGACCTCGAGCTTGAAGAGCAAGGCATTTTCAGACGAGCAAGCGGCTATCTGAATTATATGCGCAAGCGCGCTTCAGGGAACAGCAAGACAGCGACCGACTCTACCGTCATTGTACGAGGTATCGAGCGTGTTGGCTTCAAGGCCAAAATCGAATCGACGAACATCTTCATGACTGGTCTCATTTTCTTTGTTGTCTTCGTTGCTCTGGTTATGATCATGGTCGGCCTTTTCAAGCTTGGCTGTGAACTATTGGCCAAGCAGGGCAGGATGAAGAGCAACAAGTTCCAGGACTTCCGGAACGGCTGGAAAGTGGTAGCCCGTGGCATTCTCTTCCGGCTGACGCTGATCGGCTTTCCCCAAATGGCTGTTTTGTGTCTATGGGAGCTCACCCAGCGGGACTCGGCTGCGGAGGTGGTTCTGGCCATCGTCATGTTCCTGTCGGTGGTCGCCGCTCTGGGTTGGGCATCTCTCAAGGTGCTCCGGCTAGCAAACCGATCAACTGTGATGCACAAAAATCCGGCCTATATTCTCTTCTCTGACCCGACCTGCCTGAACAAGTGGGGTTTCTTGTATGTGCAGTATCGTGCAACTGCATACTACTTCATTCTTCCTTTCCTCGGTTATATCTTCGTCAAAGGCATGTTCATCGGCTTGAGTCAGCCAGCTCCTGTCGTCCAGACTATTGCCTTGGTTATTATCGAAGCCTGCATGCTCATCGCCGTCAGTGTGCTGCGTCCGTGGATGGACAAGAAAACCAACATCTACAACATCGCCATCGCTGCTATCAACTTCCTTAACGTCATCTTCCTCCTCTTCTTCTCGAATGTCTTCAATCAACCCGGCATTGTTACTGGTGTCATGGGAGTCGTGTTCTTTGTGATCAACGCCATCTTCGCCCTTGTGCTCTTGATCATGGTGTTGGTCGCTTCTATCTACGCCATTGTATCCAAGAACCCGGACACACGCTATCAGCCGATGAGGGATGACCGGGGTTCATTCATCAAGTCGGGCAGCCAGCTGACGACCGAACTGGACGCTTTGGGTGCGACGGCACGTGGCGACATGAAGAACTCGCCCTATAAGTCTAGCCCGTTCGAAGATGATAACGCGTCTTTCTCCAGCGGTAACGGGGCCAGTGTCAGCCGTCAGAACCTCGAGGCTCCTGAGCCCTCGCCGAACCACGCTGCGCGCTCGCCGGCCTCCCCTGTGGACCCTTCGTTGCCGCTATTTCCTAGCGACAACCGCAACGGTTCGCACGACGCCAATTTCGGACGATCACCATCGCCTGTTCCGCGTGGCTACACCTCCTCCCCCATGCAAAACCCACACGCATACCGACAACAAAACAACCCGAGTCCATGGCAAAGAGGGGCGGGATATGATCACTGAAGTTGAATAATTCACCTGAATTGCTTTCTAGCCTTGCTTGTGATGAAGTTATGGCCTTGTGTGTGTGCGCGTGCGGGGAGAAGGCATGGATTGACTCCTATTCTACTCTATTCACGAGCCATTCTAGCTTTCTACTACCTATACAATTCTTCCCGCACCAGGTGCGTTGGGGTTTTCTTGCTTCTCTGATTTCCATCTTCATCCATTTTCTCTGTTATCATGTTTTTTGCCTACATCCCTTGTCGTATGCTGTGATATACCAGAGAGCCCCCTCCCGCCCCTTTTTCCTCTCTCCCCAATCAACCTGGCCCATCCATCTTCTAGACTACCTACACCTACCTACCACCTATCCACTTACCTCTTATCCGACATCCGACGCCCCCTTTCTTTTTCCAAAAGGGGGAGCCACAGGCCGGCGGGGGAGGAGCTCATTACTTCCTTCCTTACAATCAACCCATCTTTCCCTATTACCTACTCCTACTGCTACTACTCTCACGTTTTACTACCGCTGGCGTTTTGAACCAACAAAGGATCCTGGATATATATCGGTTATACTCTTTGTTCTATGGGGGGTTTCTGTTTTTATCTTATATATTTATTCCTTTTTTTCCCTCTTCATCCTATATATTTTTCTTCTCCCTTATATCTTTCCTTGATGTATGAATAATAGAGAAAAGAGAAGGGAGGCTGGGGAGGAATTGAAGAAGAATGAAGGCTTTTTCTTTTTATGTTCGTCCCGTGGCCGAAGAGCTTCTTCTAGTCCTCTTTTCCCTGAGTTTCGTAGTTGACTCCGATCCCGTGATATTTCTATCTTGTTCGGGCATATTGGGGGAACGGAGAATAACTGAGAGAGAAGCAGAAAAAAGGAGGAAGTATCTGTAGGATGATCGCTGATGCAATGACGTAGGCGATGATACCCACTTCCATGCCGTGCCCCATATGGGGGAGGGGCGAAGAATGTAGATGTGGGCGACATGGTACTCTAGATGTCCCAGCAATCAACGGCAGAGACGCGTTCTAACCACAAGGCGCGGGTGCTTTTTTGTCTGCGAGCTAGCAACTAGTATTCTTCTTCTAATCATCTTTGTTTTTTTTCCATTCTCCTAATCAACTGTTTCCACTCCTCCTTTCTTTCGATAAGAAGAACATAAAACATGATAACACCAGATAAGACAGATAAACCCAAACTCACGAAAATGATATTCAGAGACCACGCCGGGATTTAGAATGATGATGAGGAACAGAAACATGACCACCCGTCTTGAGCAACAGACCAAGCGTTTCAAGGTGGAGGGAGGAGGTATAAAAGGTAATTTCGAACATGTGGGGGGAAACAAAGAGTACATGAGTTGTTTTTGGGGTGGGGGAGAGATGTGGAAGCAAATGCAATGTGTGGGAAACAATCAAGACAGGTTCTTCATCGTCTATCACCCAATCCCGGAGGCGGGCCCGGCAGAGACGAAGAACCCATGCCAGGAGGCGGAGCAGCATGGGCATATGCATCGGAGCCGGGCGGGCCATTGATCCCGGGAGTCGGGCTGGGACTGTACCCGGCTGGCGGAAGCTGGCCCGGGGGAGGCAGGCCGGGGAACCCAGCTGCGCCGGGAGGAGGCGTGGGGAACCCAGCTGGGAACCCGCCGGGGGGTGGGATGGGGGGGAATCCCTGGGCGCCGGGGGGCATGTTGGGGAGGGCAGGAAGACCGCCGGGGGCACCGGGGCCGCCGACGCCGGGGAACGGGGGTGGGAAGGGAAGGCCTCTTGCTCCAGGGGCTGCGAGTCTCGTTAGCTTGTTATTATATATATACAGAATTTAGAATTTGGGATTGAGGAGGGAAGAGTGCTGCGTGCGGGAGGAGAAAAGGGATGTATGCAACTGGGAGGCACGTACGCGGAGGCATGCCTGGGGCTCCGGGAGCTGCGCCAGGTGCGGGCATCCCGAAGGGAGGAGGAGGAAGTTGACCTGGGCGGCCTGGAAGCATTCAATCAGTCGTCGATCAATCTTTCGGTCTCGTTCGGAGAGTTGGTGCACACGTTGCGAAACATACCGGGAAATCCAAAGGGAGGGGGGTAGGCGCCCGGGGGCACCATCGCAGGGTTGGGTACAGCCTGGCCTTCGGCGGCGTATGATGATGTGATGGAGTCAATGACGGATTGGGCCTTTTCTTGTCCGATCTCTGTGAACGTGTTAGATAACGGTTGCGGACTCATTGCAGGTCTGACATCGGACGGGGGACGTCGCACGTTGGTAGTACTCCACAACGTTTCTCAGATGGTTGCGTCCAGAGTTGTGCGCCTTGCGCACACTCATTGAGTCGTGCGTAAGGTAGACATCGCAGTAGTCACCTGTTGCATGAAAGTGTCGGTCAGTTCTGTTGTGGCGTGGTTGAAAGGCACCGGGATGGGATTTCGCGATGTGCGCGGAGTTCTTGATGTCGCAGGCACCAGACCACTGGAATCGCATAAATCGATAATCGCATAATAGAGGATAACCTACAGAAGAGTGAGGAGTTGTCAGTAGTTTCCTGATGAGCAAGTGATCGAATACTTATATTTGGGCATCTTGATCTTGAGAGAGCGATTGCTCTTGGAAGGCGGATTAAGCTTCGCTCGGCAGCGCTCGATCGGCGCGTTGCGCTTGGGCGGGACGGTTCGTTCAAGGTGTGTGAAGCACGGTTGTATGAGCCAGAGATGAGAGTCGGGTGTTCAAATCGTTGAGGTATGAGTTTGGCGCGTGGAATTGTTGAATACTCGGAAATTTTGACTGAGTCGGAGACGAATAACTGGCGGCGGAGTTCGAAGCGATATCAAAGCGGTATCACGGGGCAGAATACCCAGCCCAGGTGTCGAGCCTCAGGCACCCCTATCTATAGTACAGGACCTGGATCCTGCCGACAACCAGCTGCAGCAGGTCGGCACATTGTGTGCATGCATATGTGTGGACTTATCATCAGTCAATACTATAATTATACTGAGCTGGTGGGACAGTAGTCCCTTCACGGCTTTGTCAAAGATCCAATGCTGCAATGTGGACTGTTCGTGGGACGGTGTAATGGTGCAATACCTTAACTGGAAACTGTACTCCGTAGTCCTGCATGATCCCAGAGATCTCCTTGTGCTCGGATGTGTTTTGTTGAGGCAGGTAGTCTTGTGCCAATTATGCTATACTACAGCTATCCTTCAACTCTTCAAGCGATTCTTCATTGTCTACGGTGAGTAGCAACTGCCCCCATCACGACCAGTAGTCTCAGGCAGGGCCGTCGTGGTATATATATTCATACCCGCTGCGCGTTGGCTTTCCCAGTAGAACGACGGGGGCCAGACCAGCTGGATCCCAGTCGAGTATGTGAAGCCTATCTGGCGAAATTCATACACCGAATAGATGATGAATTGACTTGCCGACCAAATTTCAGTCTCGCAGGCTGCCAATATAGACATCAGTAATTGGTAGAGTTGACTCACAGTTGGTGCCACTATCTATGTCTACAACAAGGTCGTAACTCTCGGGGTCTCAGAGAAGCGAGCCACAGTCACTCTGACGAAGGAAGAAAGCTCAAATGACCCCCGATTCCTTGCTCTTGCAATGAGATCCTCTATTGAGATCGAAACCCAACCGAGACTCGACTGTTAGGCACCTTGTATTGCCAGAAGACCCCAATAAACGAAAGTGAAAGCAGCAAATAAGAAATATCCAACCATGCAGAATCCCTCGAAAAACGGTGATTGAAGGAGTCTCGATTGGCTAGGATTGTTCATGATCATCAGGGCAACAGAGGAGATAGTCCGGGGCCCCGGAGGTTGTTCCTTGGATAATTGTTGCACCTCAGCTGGGGGAAGGGGGAACGCTCCGATCAGCTTGACAAAGTGGCCACTGGCAGAAGGGTTGGTCCCGTGAGTCATCATGTTCTTGCCTCTCGCGTACTTGAGGACCAAAATTGGATCTCAACACGTATCACTCTATCCCCGGATTCAAGGGACGGCAAGGAGTGGTTCATGACCTTGTCCGCGGGGAGTCCGGGAATTGTAATGATCAGGTGCTGGCATTACCCCCACAAATCGGCGTAGTCGGCGTTTCCAGCACCTGGAGAAAATGTGATCCAGCATCAGCCGAGGGCTGGAGAATGGCCTCGCTACGGAGTAAAGATCCGGAAGGCCAGAGGAAGGTGAAGTTTGGTTGGGGACGTCATGCTTCGCAGCGGGGAAAAGAGGGGAAGGAGAGATTATTTCCTCAGAAGAGACAGGCAAGAAAGGAAGAAATGCTGACTGATGAAACAAGCCATGCCGGCAGGAAAATCCGGGGAAGAAGCGAGTCGAACCTCCTTGGAACCGTTCCCGTGGCCGCCTTGCCGCCTTACCGCCTCAGGCCAGCAATGCATACGGAACCGGTGATTTGCCGGCTGGACCGGCTCGGTTGTCATGGCCATTCAGGAACCAGAATCTCGCTGGAAATGTCTTGGTGTCTTGATGCCTTGATGCAATTTACACATCCATGCACTACTACCGACAATCCGACAATCCGAGGGGTTATGCGCCCCCTTCCCCCTTCCCCCTCCCCCTTAGACGGTTGGAGAGTTGGAGATGTCTCTCAGCGCCAAGTGCCACTCGCAATAACCGCCAGTCTGGCCCGGGAAAGTGACTAACGCAGCAGCCCTGTCCTGTGGGGAAAGGGTGAAAAATTCATACCCCTGGGAGGAGAGGAAAATAGCATCAGTGGCCAGTGCACTGTGTGAATTTGCACACTGGGAACACTGGCACAGTGAGGCATTTCTGGCATTCGAGGAGAAAGGGGTGGGGGGTCCCATCGTCATCCTTCGTTTGGCCCCTCTCCATTAGGGCCGGTCACCTCGTTTCAGGAAAATTCCTGCTAATTCTGGGGAAGCTGTCCCTCTTGGGGCTAGCGGCCCATCCTTACTCAGGGTTGACTGATGACTCCAGTCGGTTTGGGTGGGATTTCCAGCTTTTCACCTGATGAGGCAGACGAAGACGACAACGATGATGAAGGTAATGGGGGCTAGCTGGCCTCAATACTTAGGCTTGGCCAGCAAGGCTCTTCCTGTGGCTCACCAATGCCAATAGAAATGAGGCTATGAGCATGATGGGCAGAGGGTGGACTGAATCACACAATTTCATTAAGGGCGGTGAGCGAGCAAGAGGGGCAGCGGGTGGATGATCTTCGCACGATCAATCGGGGCTAACGTGACTAAACGTCGATGGTCTCGAACATCAACAAACCGAGTCTTCAACCACCACCACATCCGGTGATGCCTTGACTCTCCTGATTCTCCCCCTTTCCATTGACACACGGACACTGGGACGTGGAACACACAATGGTGCAAGCTGCTGCACAATAACGTCTTCTCCAGCGGCGAGCGACGGCAGGATTAGCTTCTTCTCGTCCATTCCGCTAGTTGTGCCTGATCAGCATCATCCTGCAGTGGGATGACTACCTGAAAACTGGCATCATTCGCGCAATTTCTCTCGTAATCGCAGTACTCGAGGGGTACTCAGGTTGGCGGTCATTCCGCCCTTGTTCGGCTCGTTGTTGAGGTGACCGAGAGGGGGGGAAGTATGGGAAGTATGGGAAGTATGGGAAGTATTCTGAATGTACAGCGATGATGCAAGTGTACAGTTCCTCCGATGGCTTTTTGCGGGGAAAAGCAGCAGCCCAGCGCCCAGCCATGAGGGTTAGCGTGGCTTGTCTGCATCTGCCATCTGCCCACCACACTATTTACTAATAGTAATCAATTTGAGAAAAATAATATTAAAAATATGCTCTCAATTCCAGAACTACTCAGTACTCAATTTAGTAGGTATGAGTAGTACGGAGTAGGGAGTAACCACTCCTTGAGCCACGAGGAAGACCAACTGAAGAGAGTGAGTGCCAAATTGCCAATGTGATAGACTGTAAAACCAACCAACCAACTGTAAGACTGAAATAGTTGCAATTGTTACCTTACTTACAATTAGTCCATCCCTGCTTACACTTCAATAGATTCTTCACCAACTTCCACTCGAGTACAAGCAAAGAATGGAAAGAACCGAGCAGCAAATTTGAAAAAAATGGACTTGACGATGACGCGTGACTGACCAGCCCATTTCCATTACCCCCAGGAAACTGCACTGGGCGTTGCGTCTGCGGCTGATTGGTGCAGCGGGTAGTTTCTGTTACGTTTTAGTCCCGGCGGGGAGTGGGAACGGGTTTGTCAGATGATCGCGACAACTCCCAAGGAGTAAAAGCAGCACTGGATGTTTTGGGATGTTTTTGGCTGTGGTGGATCCCTTCCCGACCAGTCCTGCCCTTCTGCGTAGGTAGTGCGCACACGTTCAAGGTTCCTCAATGCTGCTGCTTTTACAGGCGCCGCCTCGGCATCCGACGTTATGCGCGCGGTTCAGCCGGCAAACTCTTTTTTCACTCGTTTTTCTCCAGCAGAAAATTTGCTGGCGCTCCACTTCCCACCGCGTGTGACCCTGGCTGGGCTGGCTTTGGCTGGCTTTGGCTGGCTCTTGCTGGCTCTTTCTTTTGCGGTGCCTGGAATGGGAAATTCAACTTCCCATTATTATTATTATTATTCCCAGAAATTCTCCAACTGAATTCACTCGGCTTGTCCCGTGGTGCAATCACGAGTCGTCCTGCCGTCACAAAGGGGGCTGCTCCCATTCTATATAACTCCGTCCCCGCCACAACCTCTGGGTCGAGGCTATAGTGGATAATTAGTCCAGTACCAGCATCACGACATCCTTGAAAGAAGGTGTGGATTTCAATCAGGGAAAAAGAAAAATAAAAAGAAAAAAAAGGAAAAATTTTTCTTTCTCTTTTTCTTCTTTGAATCATATACTTTAACCACAGTTCCTGCTGTGTGTCTTCTTTCACTTCATACTTCACTGTTCAGCCTCTGTGGGATATTTATCCTCACCTCACCCATTCACTCCTACTACCCCACACTCTCCTCGACTCGATACCAATTCGCATATAAGCCGAGTTCGAGTCCCAATTGCACGTCTTGTCTCTCATCGCATTGCATCATCGCTGCATTGAGTCATCGCCAATTAGCGCAATTGCATACATACCTCTTCATACCCGCACACCACCACTACCCACATACAACACCTCAACACAATCCACCATGCCGGGATCATATCGAGTCATTGAACCGCATCCATCGGTCCCTCACACCAGCCGTCCCGCTTTGCACACGGCTCGTGGAGGCGCCGGCAATGTCATCAACCTCAAGGGCACTAAGACCACTCCTTCGCAGACGGCCTCCGGACCGGCTTCCATGACGCGCCTCGACTCGCGTGTGCCCAGCACCTTCAAGTCTGGCCGGGGCGGCGCCGGGAACGTCCACAGTGGCAGCGAGCGCGCCATCTTCAGCTTCGACGAGGAGTTGGAGCGTGAGCTCCGCCGCGCCGCGCCCGTCTACCACGTCGGCCGCGGCGGTGCCGGCAACATGGTCTTCAGCGACGACTCGTCCAGCAGCCTGTCGCGAAAGTTCTCCGCCAGCAGCAATGGCACCAGCAGTAGCTCTGGCTCCGCGCGCGAGCGTGCTCTCCGAGGTCTGAATAAGGGCTGGGGCAAGCTCCGGGGCATGGCCTAAGCCAGCCAGCCCGGGACGACAACCAAACCAACCACCAGCAAAGCCGTCCTTTGCGACTTTCCACTTATTCATTCTCAGCCTTTGCTTGTTCACCAAAGCGCCTGCGAATTTGTCCTTCTGGATCATGACTCACGACTTTACGACTCCCACCACAAAAAAAGTTCTTGATTTTACCGCCTTACTTTCGGCCTGGGGGATTCGACCTCTACATGCATTTGTTCTCAACACAACTACGCATCTATCTAATTTCTTTTGAACCTTCAACCAACAAGGGGTGCTACTGTTTACACTCCACGAGCTTGTGGGAACTCTCACCTCAACATCTCAAACCTTCAACCTTCGAATCGCATTCACATCTCTTCAACATGATACCCCAATCGCTATGTTCGCAAGCTGATTCAGTACTGGATCAACATCGCATGGCATCTACTTTTTTTTTTCTATTTTTTTTTCTTTTGTCTTGTCTGCCATCCAAACTTCAACACAACAATCCTGGATCCTCATCCACCGCAGCGCAGCATAACCGAAGCTAAAGCTCATGTACCTGACCATGCAACCATTCATTCTTCACATATGAACGAACGAATGAAACGAAACTTATCTCCTGTACAACCCCTTAGATAGCTACTTTCTCGACAGCGTGTGGAATGAAAACAAGAACAGACAAGCAAAACCTTTTCCCCCTCTTCCATTGTAGAATCATTCCTTTCCCTTATTGTAAGCATAACCCCAGCCCCCTAGAGTAGTACAGACCCAGGAAAAACCGATGCCCACATACAAAACACAGAGTGCGGGGGAAAAAACGAAGAGATTCGTACTCGCAAACAAACCCAACTCTTACGCAGAAGTGGAGACCTCGCGAGTTGTTCACCAACTCGAGTACGAAGTACGTACGAAGGACGGGGAATCCGGGAGGCGGAGATGTCAGCACCTCGGGATGGCTCCAAACCTTACTTAACCTTTACCTACAGTAAGTTACTCATGAGGACATGAAAGAAAGCCTTTCTCTTTTCTTTCGCTCTGTCTTTTCTTTCGCCCTTCCAGGACCTACCCGAGGTTCGAGTGCGTTTTGGGGGGGGGGTGTGGTCGGGTCTAGATTCTATTCTAGAAGGTGGTCTAGAGTCTGTGCTGTGGTGTGCTGTGCTCATACTGTGACATATTGGATGGATTGGTGTCATAGCATACATACAATGTGGGCGTGGGTTTTTGGCGGGGCTGGGGACGTCGTAAAGGTGGGCATGATTTCCGCTCTTGATGAGCTGGGTGGTGGTGGTGGTCGTCGTCGTCGTCGTCTTTGTGGTATCGAGATCGTCTTCACGGGGGAGCGGATAAACGAACTTTGGAGTGGATTGGTGTTGGAGTTGAGGTGGAGAGTCTATACGTGGGTAAGAAGCACCGACTCGACGGAGGGTACTCTAATTACAAAGGTACTCGGGAAGGTAAGTTCACGAGGGAACGCTTCAAGGTTAAATCTATCTGGGTTTGCCTGATTGCCTGATTGCCTGAGGACACTGTATTGTACTTCTTGACTGGGCGATCACGGAGCTATAGTATACTGCATCTCTTCTCTTTCGATTTACACTGCAGTAGCAGTAGCAGTAGCAGTAGCAGCATACCCCGAGGTTTCGTCAGGACACGAAAACCAATCAATCCATTCAGGAAGGTTGTACTGCACACCTGGCACCTGATATCAGTATCTGGAGTTCATGCAAG